ACAGGGGAAGGGAAGGAGAAAGAGAGAGAGAGAAACATCAATGTGTGGTTGCCTCTCCCACGCCCCCCACTTGGGACCTGCCCTGCAACCCAGACATGATCCCTGACTGGGAATCAAATCAGCGATTCTTTGGTTCACAGGCCAGCACGCAGTCCACTGAGCCATACCAGCCAAGGCTGAATAATTTATTTTTAAAACCAGTGTATGAGGCCCTGGCTGGTGTAGCTCAGTGGGTTGAGTGTGGGCCTGTAAAGCTAAGGGTCACCAGTTTGATTCCCAGTCAGGCCACATGCCTGGGTTGCAGGCCAGGTCCCCAGTGGCAGGTATGTGAGAGGCAACCACACATTGATGTTTTCCTCTCTTTCTCCTTTCCTTCCCCTCTCTCTAAAAATAAATAAATAAAATATATATTTTTAAGGATTTTATTTATTTATATTTAGAAGGGAAGGGGGGAGGGAGAGAAACACCAATGTATGGTTGCCTTTTGCATGTCCCCTGCTGGGAACTGGCCTGCAGGGAACCAGCCTGCAACCCAGGCATGTGCCCTGGCTGGGAATCGAACCGCGATCCTGTGGTTTGCAGGCCCACGCTCAATCCACTGTGCTATACCAGCCAGGGCAATAAATAAAATATTTTTTAAAAACAACAAAAGAACCAGTGTATGAGAAGGCAAGCAGTTGGGATCATTTCCAAAACTATTAACACAGGGACATAGAACTTGGTGCTCAGTCCACTCCATTCACTCACTCACTCATTCATGCATTTATTCATTTATTCAACTCATTGGAACTATGGACTCAAAGTTGAGCAAGACCAAGCTTCTGGCCTAAAGGAGCCCACAGTTTAGTGATCAGGCCAAAAGAAAACTACATACCATTTATAACACAGGCATGAAAAGTATAGTGGGAAATTCTTAAATCTAGTTGTGTTTTTGAAAATTTTTACTGTATTTATTGGGGTAATATTTGTTAACAAAATTAAATGGGTTTCAGGTATATAATCCTGTAATACGTTATCTGTATATTGTATTGTGTGTTCACCACCCCAAGTTAAGTCTCCTTCCATCACCATTTATCCTCTCCTTTATCTTCTCCTCCCTCCCCCCATCCTTAAATATAGGTTTTGATGGAGAAAGAAATAGCTAGGCCCCAAGAAAGGGGTGATGGGTCAGGGAAAAGACAAGCAGAGGTCATCTAAATCTGTACAAATAGAAAAGTGAGTGTGAGTCCTGGCAGAAACAGGAGTATGAAGTCAGCAGTGACCAATCTTGGCTTTAAATGTCTTACTCTTTGTGCCAAGCTAAGGACAGCCAAAATGGTCAGATTCAAATATATGCTAATTTCCAAAAAGCTTTCTGGGCTGATCTCACTTCACATGAAATACAGCATACTGGTGGCAAACTCAGTACTGTGATGCCTTGAACTCGAGCTTTGGGTTTGAATGAGTAGGTTGTTTTCTGTAGCCTATGTGTAGACACACTTTCATACAGCCACATGGATAGTTTATATCCATAATACTATAGATAGGTATAGATAGATTCTACAAAGCATACCAGAAGATATAAACCTTACATGCAGACACATCTAAATAGTGTATGTGTCTAGATGGTCCCTCAGACATGTTCAGATGGAGATGGGTTATGGAGGGAGGTTATCACACAGGACAAACACCTATCCTAGACAATTTAGACAGCCATTTGCCTGCAGACAAGGAATCGAAGGAGGGTTGAACAAGATGAATTCCAAAGGCACCTTAAAGCTCCGTGTTATGCATTCTATGAGCTTACCTGCATAAAGCAGTTTCTCTATAAAATTCTATGACCCTGGTGAAATTATTCCTCTCTGCCACTTTTTTTGTGCTCAGATAGAAAATGTATTATTGATTTCTGATTCAAGCACAGACAGTGTAACTTAGAGTAAACAACACTGAATGAGGAGTCAGGAAACCAATTACTGTCTTCAAACCACCCAAGAGGTGAGGGGGTGGGGGCTGTGTGACCTTGGGCAATAGACGTCACTTCTCTGGGCTTCAGCTTCCCAAGTATTAAATGAAAGGAGTGGCTAAGTGTTCTACAATTTTCTTCCAGTTCTAAATCAATGCACTCACCCCCCATCCCCTGAGATGTAGTTGCTCTCCAGAGCTCTAAAAATAAGGACTAATAATACTGGATTAAGATCATCTCTTTCCTAAGCAAAGGTCCTGTTCTATATTACTTTTAAAAACCATCCAAATCTTGCATAATTTAAGTAATCAGTGCTATCACTGGTTGCTCTGGTTTAAATTATGCATTGTTGCTATTTGGGGAAAATTTAGACAGGGTCCAGTCTGGGATCACTGACTGAGAACAATAAGCCCCCAAAACGAGAAGGATAAAGGCCTCTTCAGACAGGACCTGCTTTTAGTGCATTGAGTGCAGCGTTTACAAAAAGAGCATTGATTGTGTACGTTAGAGAGCCACTGAAACAGCCAGGGACTGGTGGATCTGCAGCAAATTCTCCTAGAAGCCACTGACCTTGGCTGCATTTCAGGGGTCAGGCATTCCCAGAAGGTTCTCGGAAGGCAGGCTTTATTGAGAGTTTAGGAACAAATGAGACCTCTGCTCTAGATGAGCTCCCTTCTCCTAATTGGAGAAGACAGAGAGAGATGACCTGCCCTCTGGTTTGTAGGGATCACCTATATGGCCTTTGGACCCACTTCTACCATGCCCACATCACACACCACAAGACTGGTTGCAGACCCCAGCCTTCCAACTGTCTCCACATCTGCATTTAAATCCTCTAGCAAGCAGTTCCACAGCCTCCTAGGCTGGCCTGGCCCCTCCTCTTTCCACACCTCTTGCAGGCAGAAATACAGAGGCAGAGCACTGAACACAAGCCACAAAGAACAATTTCAGTGAATCCTGAAATTGCAAAGATATCTTTTCGAAATACAGATCTCAGGCGCAGGTTTCCCACGTGTGAATCACACTCCAGGCCAGTGGGTGAGCCCTCATAGTTGTTCACAAGCCTGCAGGCTCTGTGCTCAGTATCTCTCCCAGGAAAAAATGACAAGGGACCCGCTGGCCAAGCCCAACTTAAAATCAGATCAAGGAGCTTTCCATGAGAGGAGCGATGTTGAGATGCCAGATCAGGGAGATCGTAGCCTGGCCCACTGTTCAGACGCCTTCCCTGACCTTTGCCACTTTCCCCTGCCCCGAAGTCTGGACCATCCATTCACCTGATTAACCGCCTGGCAGCAACTCCCAGCGCACAAAGTAGGGCAAATGACAGTCCGTAAAGCAGGAAGCCACAGACACGGACAGATCACCCAGCCTGTTACCAGCCCCCACCCTGTTCTGCATGTGGCATTTCAGTGCCAGGGAAATAGACAGCTTACTGTAATAACGCATGAATGAGCTTTTGCTGCCCAGCTATCCAAAAAGCCAGTTACAAATAGCATCTCTGTTCCTCCTCAACCCCTTGACTGCCTCGCAGAAACCTCACCTCTCGGATTCAAGGATTAAGGAGAGGGGAAGGAAGTGTTAAAAGGGGGGTTAGGGAGGGAGAGGATTAATGAGACTAAAGAAAAAGTGACACTTGGACCATCGAGGCAGCTCTTTAACATAACCGTGGAGAAGGAGACAATGTCGGGAGAAGTACTGAAGATGCGGGTATATAACCCCAAGATTAGCATCAGTTTAACAATGTATTCCCTCAGGAGGGCGTGTGAACTTCGAAGCCTCACCTATCCTGCGTGTCCCTGGGTTGACAGCCGCCATCAATCTGGCCCCACCGACCCTCCCTGCTTCATGTACATGCAGTTTTTTTTTTTTTAATCTTATTTTTGGGTCAGGAGAGGAAGAAGCCTTCTTTAAATTGGCGTCCAATTCTCCTCAGACCCCCGCTGCTGTCGCCACCCCCACCCGGCACCTCCTTCCCGGCAGGCAGCATCTAATTAAAATGGCAAGAAAGCTCTGCCCCCTTCCCCGAAAGGACGGTGTTGGGATTGGGGGGTGGGGGTGGCGAGGCGTCGAGGCTGCACTCGCATTCCTGGTATTCTGGTCTCAAAACAACAGCAAAATGGATTCTATATGGGTGATGTCTTAGTCAATACAATGAAACGGCGACTGAAGCCATTCACGTGAAGGTAAACGCAGACTTTAAGTGGGGCTGGGGGTTGGGAAGTGCTCTACAAAGGGCTGGCCACAGACGCAGGGAAAACACACACACACACACACACACACACACACACACACACACACACACACACGATCCTGGGAGTTCCGGTCTGGTTGGGGAAAAGCGGAGAATACATCCCTTTCACCTGCTGAAGTTCAGCCATAAAAACTGAAATGTTACGGCCCCAGAGTCAGCACAGGCAGGGCTGAGTTAAACCCGGATAAAGGTGAGGGGCAGACCGGGGGTTGAGGCCGTGCGGAGAGAGTCCGGGCGCGGAAGGCAGGGACGGGGGAAGGGGAGGCAGTTGCCATCTACAAGACCAGCATAGCAATCGCTGCCTTCTTGGAGAGGCAGGTTCGGCTCCGCGGGGACCGCCGGGCTCATGTCATTTTGCAGGTAGCTGAAAAACGTGGGGGGAACCGGTGCCTTTATTCACGCTGCTGTTATCATTTCTGCAGAAAGAGACAGGTCTCGCGCCTTGGCAGGAGACAACTGCCCGGGGCTTGTGTGCGCGCTCACACACACACACACACACACACACACACACACACGAGCCTTTCATTTTAATGCGCTTACACCGCTCTGAGATGAAACTGGCATAAGCTCCACGCGCTCCCAGGGGGTTCTTGACCACAGCCAAAGGAGGGCGCGTACGGCACAGCCCCTGCCGTGGGGACTTAGGCGAAGGCACCTCAGCAGCCCCCGAATCGAAAGGCGGATCCAGGTTCCCTCTGCAACGCATTCGCCGCCTCTGCCCACCAGTCCCAGCCCCATCCACGCACCGAACCCATCCAACACGGACTTAAACCACGAGAAACAAATCGAAAAACATGTTCTGCTCACCCTCAGTGCCGAGAGATCGATTTCATCCAGGCTGCGAGCCGGGGAATCACTCGCCATGTCTACCTCTTCGCAGGAGAAATGGACCAAAACCACCCCGAACCTTTTCCCTTGGAAATTCCACCTTGGTCTATTTCACTCGGGTCCTCATGCGGGTGTCGCGCCGGAGGCCCCCGGGCCCAGCCTCTCCGGCCCACCCCTTCTCCACTGCGCGGGATCGCGATCCTCCGCTCCTTGTTCCGCTGGGTCCGGGAGCCCAACCTGCCGGGACCTCCAAGCCGGGAGCCGCGGTGCGTGTGGGCTGCGCGCCCTGATCGGCTAAGGGCGCTCGGGCTGCGTGGGTGTATTTAAATGGGACATGCTTCTTTGCTTGTGCGTGGATGGCGGCTGCATTGGCTGTTATAATGAGACACATCAACTCCTCCACTCAGCTGGGGGTTGGGGGTGGAGAACCACACAGAACTGTCTATCATCGCTTCCTGGGAGGAGTAAAGGGAGGGGGGAGGAAAGAGGCGGAGGAGGCGTGGTCTCCGACTGGGGAGAGGCCACGCTTCCTGACCCAGTCCCTCTGCACCAGCGTGGGTGGGGGAGGGGAGGGCACCCTTCCGCCCAAAAGCTGGCGGGCTAATCTGGATGGATCTGGAGAGCGGTTTCTGAACCTTGCAGCAATTATCGTAGGGGCAAAGGAGATTTTGGGGCACACACATTTCTGTGTCCAATTCATGCACTGCAGCAACATGGCCTTTGAATAGCATCTGGGGGACTCTAGCAGGGGTTCAAATACTCCGGCGCTGAAAAAATTCAGGGGGGTGAAGCGATGCCCCTCCCTCCGCCATTAATTATTTGTGTGGCTGGAGTAACGCAGGCTGGTGCAACCAGTGCATATAAGGACTTGTGTGCAGGGAAGGGGATCCGCCTCCAGCCGCGAACGAATGGGAGAGCAGCGCACTCGCACACTGCGCGCAGCCCCGCACCTCGCCAATTTGCCCCGGCCTCTGGGTCGGGGCCACCAGCGGTCCCCGGGATCCTGGACGGACGGTTACTTGCGGCTTCGGGGCTGGAAAGGTTTGCCAGAAGCAGGAAAGCCGGCAATCTGAGCTTCCTCTTGGCATCGCCACACCCAGGACATGCCCGTGCCGCAATTCCCTACGGAAACGACCGAATTGAACCGAGAAGGTTGCTCTCTGGGTGCAGTAGCTTGAATGCTTCAGGTAATTCTAAAGGCAACACTGGGTAAAGCAATACACGCTGCCTTAGGACCCTACAATTCCCTTTCAGGCAGCGGTTCCGCGGCTGACCTACCCAGATTGATGGAGAAAGTTTGTCTGGCGGGTAAGATGTTAACATACGAGATGTACATACGGCCAGAGGGATCTCACACCACCCGCTTTCTCATTTGAAGGCTGAACGTTTACAGTGTTAAACTTGACGTTCTGTAATCAAGAGTGTGAAGTCACTTCCCCCAGTCACCACCCCCGCCCCTCTGCACTAGCCCCGCACAGCCCTTCCTCTCCAGCCTTGGCCACTTGAAATACATAGGAAGAAATGGTGCAATCAAACTTTTCTCCCAAATACAGCAATAGCTTTGGAAGGATTATCTGTAGTTCTGTTAAGATGAGAACTTAACCTGGCCGAAAGCATGGGCGCGGGGGGGGGGGGGGGGGGGACAGTTTAAACGTGTGGTGTGGATGTCAGCCCCAGAATAAGGCTTTTGAATGAATGAATGAATGAGTGAGTGAATGAATGCAAGCCCAAGCAGTTATTTCATCGACTGCAGACATCAAATGACTTTTTAAAATCATTCCCTGTGCTGCTTTTGTTAGTATTATTGTGTGTACTTATATGTACTGTGGATCTTGAAACATGAAAATTGTTCCAACATCTGAATGACTGCAAGAATTTAGGAGCTTTTGCCATTAAAACAACAAATATTTACATGTATTATACTCAAAACACTCCATTTCATCTCTCATTTTTTAAAATAAAATCATCTAGCTTGAGGTAATAAGTGGTGTGCAGTAAGCCATCAAGTAAGCCATAAAACACTATCATGTCCTATCACTTTTTATTTTTCTCTGTCCCTTTTTTACCTTTAATCTAGATGACAAGTTAATATATCATCTCAGTGTTGAAAGAAAATAACGTAAGATCAGGTACTGAGATCTATGAACAGAACTGTTTCTAAAACTCCAAACGTACTTAAAATGAGACCTTTTTTTCATGGGAAACCAACATTTATACAGCAGATTTTATTTGAAATATCACAAATGGATCTTTCCTTCCGATATTATGTAAACAGTAAGCCGTTTCAGGCCACGAGCATGCCGTGTTACTGGCACTGAATTCTACTCTCAGATTTAGAAGTACATTACAAACCTGTATGTTCCTTACGGTGATGGGGATGCTACTGCAGGAAGCCTTCCTAGGAGCCAGGAGGATGCTGAGAGAGTCTGGTGGAGGCTGGGGTGCTGGCTGCAGGAAGCACCATAAAAGGGGAGGTTACAATAGCCAAGGCACTTCTAGCTGATCAGGGAAGGTAGAAACTCCGAGCAGTTTGTGCTGTAGGTAAAGTGGTGACTGGACTAAGGAAGAAAGCAGAGTTCAGATCAGGTAGAACTTCACATGCCTTGAGGCACTTGAACTTTATTCCTCAGGTAAAGTGTGTATCAAATTTCAGCAAATATTTCTAAATCTTTTTGTCATGTCTGTGTACCTCCTGTTCTGTTATTATTTACTTAATGTTTTTCTTAAATCAACACTTCTGTTTTTACATTTAATTTAAAAGGAAATATAAATCATTACTGTAAATGGAAAGCTAGCAACACTTGCTAAAGTAGTGGGAAACCGTGAAAATAAACACAACGGAAAATACAGCAACATCATTCTTTACATTCTAGCCAGCTATCAATGCCTGCCTGAGGCTCCTATCCTGAGGCCTGCTCTTCTTTTCAGAGCTTGACCAACGTGAGATTTTTGTTCTTGGTGTAATCTGGAGGACTGAGAGAATTGATATCATTTACATGCAGGTTGAAAGGCTGCGGAACAATACAGTATTCTGTTTATATATGTCTGAATATGTCATGTACTATAAAAAGCCCGGACACAGGCAGGAAGGATACAGATCACTTCAGGAAAGTGGGAAAGGAGGAGAAATGGAATCGGACAGCACAAGGGACGCTCCAACAATGCTGTCGAACTTAAGGTTGTTTTTAACCTTTACACTAATGGCTTTTCATTATATCATTCTCTATCTTTTTGTATATTCAAAATATTTTTATATTTTACAAATATTTTTATATTTTACAAATATTTATTAAAAAAAGAGAATTCCAAAGGGTGTTATGTTCTCTATATTATGTTCACTGTTACTTAATGTCAAATCTATGCTCCAACTGAAATAAACACTGTGGAAATCCTAAGACTGCTGGTGGAGCTTATGAAAACACACTCGGTATATCGTCTGTCACCGCAAATCCCTGAATATAACAGAAAATGTATTTAAAAAATCATTAGAGTTCTAGAAGACAAGAAAAGGCAATATCAGTTATCTAGCAATTCAAAAGACTTCCTGGATTATATAGGCAGACAGGACTGACTCACCCACAAACAAGAACTGTATAGCGTGAGTTAGGGCAATTTCAAGCTCAAAAGCAATGGCTATAAAGAGTAGGCACTTTCATCATGGTGAGTAAGTAAAGAATGGTATTAATTCTTTCATTCATTCAACAAATATTCATATTTGCTCTGTGCAAGGCCTGGGAGATTTGACTTCACTGAGGCAGATAATAAACTTGTAAATAAATAATCAATAAATAAGATTATTGGAGATGGTGATAAGTGATGTGAAGAAAATCAAGCAGGGTTATGGAAATCAGCAGATGAACATGTTCACCCCCCAGTGCTGACACCCACTCTCTGGGAATATGGGTGCTCGGGCTGGGGAGAGAGTATTACCCTCTGGAGTCGCTTGCCAGTTGCCAGGAGAAATGGGACCACACACACATGCAGAAGGTATACTATACTGGTTGCATCCCCCGCCCCATGCTGTGTCCTGTCCTGCTCTCCTTCCCACCACAATAAGCAAAGCGATCCCTCTGCATTAGAATCAGCACAGTATACAAGCAAAGGAGATTTCCAAATGCTAAGGTGAGCAGACAATCCAGAATCACCAACTGTTTGTGAGAAGCTATTACTGTTAGAGGCACTAATTTCAGTCAGTAAATGGATTTTCAAATCCACTCAACACTATTTTTAATAGAGCAAGAACAACCTTCATGCTATATATATATTTTCTAAGAAGAATAATACAGGATCTTATATTTATAAAACTACCAGGTTAGTATAAAAATAAACTAGTTGGAGGATTAAATAATATGTTTATTAAGTTTTAAGTGAATAGATTGAACAATAAGAGGTAATAGTGTGCTATACTCTTCTATGCATTCATGTATTGACATATTTAATCTTAATACTCATAAAACAGGCAACATTATTAGTGTACTCATTGTACATATGAGTAAAGTGAAGAATAGAAGGGTTAATTAACCTACTCAAGGTAACAGTAATAAGTGGCCGAACCAGGATTTGACCTCAGGCTTTCAAACACCATGCTATTCCTGCTCAAGGTGAACTGGGGGGAGGGTGAATTAGTAAACTGGAAGATTGGGCTCAGTTTTCTCCTGGATTGCAGGAGAAAGGATTAAAACAATGAGCAAAAATATAAGTAATATGGAGAATAAATCCAGAAGTTCCAACACTCATCTAAAGGAAATCCAGAGAATGGATGGAAAGAAATACTCAAATGACAAAAAATGTTTCAGTGACTTTAGGCTAAAAGCTCCTATTCAATAAGTAAAGAAAAAATACCATATTTGAACACATCTTGATGGAATTTGAGAGCATCAAGGCATTAGGATAAAAATGGAAATTCTAACCAGATTGCCTGCTTCTTATCTGCTATCAAGCGACTACAGTCCCTGCGAGCTCTAACTGTAATCTGTGAAAGAACCTGAAACGGAACCGCCCAACCAGGCTACTCCCGAATCCCCAAAACCATGATAGATAATAAATTTTATTGTTATAAGCCACTTGATATATTATGCAGTAATAGATAACTAATAACACGCTTGCAGACAGAGTTGTGTGCAGATATCATAGCTGGTGCTATAGAGCCATCTTCCTTCCAGGTCAGGATGAGCTTGAGAAAGAATATGGAACATGAAGAGCCCTTGGATACTTAATGACATCATCAAGCCACTAAATAATCCAAGAATAACTTGAACCTCTTTTTAAGTGACATAAGCTTTTCTCATTCCACCTTTAGATGGATATTCTGATATTTGCAGCCAAACACTTCCTGTTACAAAAAATAAAATTAAAACTTTTAAGGCTTTACCATTGTTAATTCATAAAGTAAAAAGAAATGATAACCTACTAATACCT